CCCTTAGTTTATTTATTTTGTATTTACATTGTGTCATAGGTCATATCTATTTGTTCAGTGTATGTTCAATGGTGTTAATATGTCCTTTGATTGAGTTAAGCTATTTCAGTTGATATTTTATAGTGTGTCTTTCTATGTTGTGATGTTACACTATTGTTTCAGAAAAAGGGTGAAGGTTTGGTACCATTAAAACGTTTAAACCCGCTGCATTTGTCTGCACCTGTCCTAAGTCAGGAATCTGATGTTCAGTAGTTGTCGTTTGTTGATGTGGTTCATAAGTGTTTCTCGTTTCTCGTTTTTTATATAGATTAGACCGTTGGTTTTCCCGTTTGAATGGTTTTACACTAATAATTTTTTGGGGCCCTTTATAGCTTACTGTTCGGTGTGAGCCAAGGCTCCGTGTTGAAGACCGTACTGTGACCTATAATGGTTTACTTTTATAAATTTTGACTTGGATGGAGAGTTGTCTCATTGGCACTCATACCACATCTTCGTATATCTAATTACTCTAAGCCGTAATGCGTTTAAGAGTAGAATCGATAGTATTTTCAACATTAGTTAAAATTTATAGTGCGGTCCAAATTAATATATAAATGTTTCCAACTGAGCCACGATTCAAACTGAATGTCCTCTCACTGAATAAACTTAGTTTGGTGACTTTGATGATCGCATCTATCCCATTGAACTAGAAATAAGTATACAACAGATTGAATTAAGTCTGTTTTATTACTGGACTGACAGCTAGAAATTAAAACTGAGGGTCGACCGAGAACTAAACTTTACGACAAAGGAGATTATTTCAATTTTCCCACTGTGATCTTTCCATTCCTCTGTAGTAACATTCACGAAGCGCCTGCTTATGAAGAATATATTATCCCTGATGGTACGATATTGCAGGGCTTGACGTTTTTTATTATGATTTCCTTGGTCACTTACAATGACGTTTTTGAACCAAATGTCCCAAGTGGTAAAGTTAAAAAAGATTAAATGACGCCTTCAAGATTTGTAATACCGTTATATAATATCTGTATAACAGATGATCACAGATTTGTAATACCGTTATATAATATCTGTATAACAGATGATCACAGATTTGTTTCACGTTTCATAACCATAATCCCGCCCTCTTTTCAGCCAATATCCCGTTAACTTTTCGTTTTAAAAGAAAATGAATAAATAAACATGTAAAACCTTTTAAAGTCACAACGAACACTTTTTTTGTTTTAAACATGAAAACAATCATTTGCATGAACAAGCTGTTTTTATGTATGTATACATCTGTTTTAGAGCTATTTGATTGTTTCTTCCAACAAACTGCCACTTTGGATTCATAAACCAAAAAGGATCGAATCAATGACCTGTCAAGAAGATTTAATGACACAAAAAGTGCAATGTACAAAATAACGAGCAGAATGAAATTTATGTTTGGTTTTAGTAGTATTAATTTTTTTCGGGTTATCAGAAAAATATTTAGGAAGTTATAAGTATATTTTTTTTCTGTGAAATCTTATCTAATGATGAATTTAAATGAAATAAACATATTATTATCAACTGAAATATCTGAAACCCTGGAATAGATAGACAAACAGGGCAATGAAATCAGTCAGAATAAGCCTCTGTTGCTCTCATGCAAGTTGAATGTAATGTGATTTGAAAGCGTCAAAGCAAGACAAAACCGGTAATTTTATCACATTGACGTGTGGAATCTATGAGTAGATTTTGGCAATAAAATACGTATGTTACTCTAAACCTTGTTTCATATAAGATGCTTCATTATCAACAGGACACATTCTTGACCCTGTATTATTTCAAGCAGTTGGAACCTTGAATAATTGTGTTTGTCAAAGACTCTTGCAAGACATTTTTCTTTGACAATTTCAAGTAGGAGATGTAGAGATCAATCTTATTAAAATAAGATTGTGTAGAGATAAAGCAGACGTTCCTATCCTTATTTGAAAATGGAAGCAGCTGAAAAATCTTTCAACCGCAAACTATGATTTACAATTCAATTCGCTCATAAATAAATTATTTAAATGCCCCAAAAGTCGTAAGCCAGGGCCGACCGCTTGGGTAGTCAAGGTCGTTAAACACCTCTATAGTAGAATTCGCTCAGTGACCAACACTTTAAAATCAGATAAAGGACTTGACAGTTTCAAATATTAACCAATGTGCAGGTAGTTTAAAAAAGAAAAGAAAAGTATGTATTTACATCCTGATATTGTCTGAGGTTTAGTCGAAACGTTTAAAGTGATATATAAAGAAGATCAAGTTTGTATTACTTCTAAGACATGACGTCACTTGCCAATAGCGTCTATCGTACCTATAAGTTTCTGTATTTACTCACTACATGTTATCCATTTATGCTGCGTTCGCACGTAATTCGAATTCGATTCGCATTAACTAATTCGAATTAGTTTAATTCGCATTCGAATCGTTTTACGTCCAAACTTTAATTCTAATTCGAATTGCAATACGCGTCAAATTTGCTTTACTGTCCGAACGACGTTAACTTTTAATTCGTATCAACAAAAACGGATTTCTAATGCGAATTGGTTAATGCGAATTAGCCAATTCGAATCAATTCGAATTAAAAAGGAAGAGTGTGTGAACGCGATTAGCGAATTCGATTCGCATTCGATTCGAATTCAATTCGAATTAAATGTACGTGTGAACTAGGCATTACATTGCATATACTAGTATCTTGTAAGTGATTTAAAGAAGAGAATCTTCACGACTTGTCAAATTCTGGGTGGAAATAAATATTTTCTTAGTTTCTGACACTTTATTTATCACACAAACTTGAAAACATTAGGAATAAGTTTAAATTATTTACAACTGACATTTTCCAGTGTGTGGAAAGATAATTCCGTGTAACATAACCTGTCCAATGATGTTTGGTGTTTTCATTGATAGATGTTTATCTAGTACGTCTTGTGTTAAACCACAACTTCCTTTCATAGTACCCTACAGTATTGCTAGACTGTGTGCAAAGGTTAACAAATGATAGACTGATATACAGAAAGAAATTGTTTACATTTTTGTCTATAGTTGTTCCGATTATCCCTATCATGGCATTAAGCTTTCTCTAGCTATACTCTGTTGGCAAAATTTCCGTGTTCTTATCAATGAAATCTAATTTCCAATTTTTTGTTGGAGATTTCAAGAAACATTATGAAAAGGGGACATTCCAAGCAGGTATTATTTGAATATGCTTATTAGCATTTACTCAGAATTTTTGTAAATGCTGTACCTATTTGAAAATTTAGAAATCTCATTCGAAAATTATGAAATAAACAATATGATAATGACATCATAATTTTTTTCCTATCTTTCGTCGTTCCGTACACGCTTTTATACACCCATTTACGGGACATAATATGGTATACCGTTGTCCGTCTGTCCGTCCGTCCTTCGTCAACATGTTGGACAATAACTCAAAAACGCTTAAACCAATTTTCACGAAACTTTGGTGAATTTTTATATCTATTGACGTAAGCTCCCTTTCTATTTTTGTAAATTTTAGATATTACGTTTCCGAGTTATGGGATTTTATTCATAAAAATGGGGGATTTTTCCAGTTTTCTGACTATAACTCAAAAATGCTTTAAAACAATTTTCACGAAACTTTGGTGAATGGTTTATTTCTATTAAGATAAGCCCCCTTTAGTTTTTTTAATAAATTTCTGATATGACATTGAGGAGTTATGGGACTTTGTTCGTTGAAAAAACGACGGCCGTATCATGCGCTCATGGCGTAGTTCTTTATTAGTAATTGGTACTTGCCTTAATCATTGCAATTAAAAATGTCGCAAGTGTGGGATCTCACATATAACTCCCAGCAATGTCCTAACTACAATCCAGTTTGTAAACAATATAGGTAGATATACTTCATTGGTGAGAAAAAAAAACTTAAGTCTTAATTGTAGAGATTGTTTTTTTTATTCAATGACACTAATTCATCTTACACTTTCAGGAAATAATTAAAATTATTAAATACCCATTTTGTCTGAATGACTTCAATTAAAAGAAAATGTATGAAAGAAAGTAGTAAAATAAATGCCCTTAAAATGCTTGTCAGAATGTTAGTTGTCGTTCAACTCTTAAACAGATAAAAGTAAAAGTATCAAATTATTATAAAACACCATTGCTTGTGTATACTTATTTACTGTCTAAAAGTGCCTTTAATCGACTGGCTGGAACATTCGCATGAAAAGGTCTTTACCTTTTGGATTATTGGTTTGTAGATTCAGATTTTGAAATAGAAAATACATATTTTTTTAATCCATGTCAAAGTTACTGCAAAACAAACTTCAATTTTTAGATGTGTGTGTGTGCATATGTGAATGCATGTACAATAAATTTTAGAAATATGTTTAAACTCTGAACATATAAAAGTATAATATAACCTCATCTAGACGTTTACGGCCATATTAGCTAAAACTATCTTTCCCTTGGTGTCTGCCGTGCATAGTAAGCGTAAACAACAAGTTTTAATCACAATTGACATGATTGGTCAGTAACGTGTCCAGTTTATAATTTGTGAATTATATTTGGTTAAAATGAGGAGATGTGGTATGATTGCCGAATGAGACAACTATTTACTAGAGACCACATGATATAGATGTTATCAATTGTAGGTCGTCGTGCGACTTTAAACAATGAGCAAAACCCATGCCGCATAGAAAGCTATAAAAGGCTCCAAACATAACAAAATGTAAAACAATTAAAAAAAATGAGAAAACCAAGGTCCATTAACAACGCTGTAGCTAAAATTTATAATGGTATAATCTAAACAGTTGTCCTTCTTGGTTTTCTCCGCTTTTTAACGTTTGTATTAGGTTTGTTCTTTCAAATAGATTTTGTCCTCGAGCATAACTGAAGAGACATAAATTGTTGAAATATGCATAACGTTAATATAGCCTATTTTGCCAAATAAGCGATTCAAGCTGGTATAAGGTCAAATACTCAAGGAACTTTTCGACATAAAACACTAAATCAAATAGTTAGGTATGAATTTATTTGAATATTAAATATGAAAAGCATGTCAATATTTCTGACATTTCCATATAAATAAAATCGAGATTGTGGATATACCTGTACGTCAATGAGACTGCAAATCACCACGAAAGACATTTAGAGTTCAACACGCTGTCTTCTATAATTGATAGGTATTTATACAATATGTCAACACAATACATGTACGCACCGTCTCCAAAAAGGATGTATTGATAGAACATCAAATATAGAAGTATATAAAAAGGACCAACCAGCAAATTTAATATGTACAGGATTGTCTAGAATAGACGGTATTGTGCAAATAACGAAAAAATGATAAAAGTCTAAAAAATTTGCGCAACGGTACTAATATACGAAGATGATGTTATAAAATCGTGTCGACAAATATTTCGACTGAACAAATAGCCTTCGTCAGTGTCAATAAATGATATATATACCCAACTCAAAGGTATATTCAAAAAGTGGAATTCCATAAAAACTGATTAAAACTAAAAACTTTACTATATCAAACAAAATTATATAACGACTAGACAATTATAGATGTTATGTTCCTGACTTGATAAGGGCATTTTTCGAAGAAAATGGTGAGTTAAAATTGGTTTTATAGCTAGCACAACCTCCCACTTGTGAGACAGTTGTATAGAGTTCCGTTATATTGACAAAATTGTGTGAGCAAACAGACACAATCGGTTAACGTGACAATATCTACGATCCAGCAGCCAACATTGTGTAAGCATACATCTTTTACAAATTGAACTTACACTTTCTATCAACACCAAACGCACCAATCACAATTAATGACAATCACTGACATGGTTCTTAACTTGGCACATGTACAGGAACATGTGGCGGGGTTAAACTTTTCTTTTGAGTTCCTTTGTTAATTAGTCCCCACCCAGGTATTCGGAGGAAAGAATTTTTCAACTTATTTCGATTGGCACAAATTGTTTTACGATTCTAACGGATTTATATGTTTTTAATCGTATGAAAGTGAATTTATTTTAACGTATGATATCATTTTCATGAGTACAACACTTGTTTTTCAAAAAGAAAAAAAAACCTGCATCAGGAGCACTCGAGACCAAAAGTTCAGAAAGGTGCCAATTACACTGTGTAGCATCATCACCGGATATATGTACCCCCGAAGCGGTGGAAAAAAAAATGTGAAGTCAGGTAAGGTGAAATTCTTCTTATTTTCATTATATTCTACATTTTTCTGTCAATTTTGATATAGTCCAAGTGTAGCTACTATTAGGGCTGATAATGATCCTTAATTGGCTTTCTCTCTCTTAAAATCGAAAGAATCGGATAGGGTGGTACCTGTTCAACGAATCATGTGACGAGTTCAAACTTGATAAAAACACATTTATTCTTCAACTTTTCATTTGACGTTTTCGTAGAACAATGGTATATCATATTTAAGCTTTAACAACACTGTATTTCGAAATAAACTATTGTTTACACAGAGAAGTTCGTGTAAATAAAGGGATACATTGTACGGCGAATAGCTGTTTACTGTACGGGGATTAGAATAGGTACTTTTTGCTATCATTGTTTCTTTGCTCCAGGGGTACCTATATCCGGTGGTGATGCTACACAGTGATTAAGGTAACCGGCAGGATATCAGATACATATGGAAGGTAACAATGACTTCCGAGTAGCGGTGTTATTAATTGCTATGCGTTAGACGATGTACGCGAGGTAACTCAAGTTCATACAATATTTCCCCAAACATCTATAAAATCTGTAATCTCGTTTGGCTTTATGGCTTTGTATACAACTAATACTATCAATAATCCCAGGATGCTTAGTGCTATGATTATGTAGTAAAATAAAATTTCAAAGATCGTAATTTCACATATGGCCATTTCTCCGGAAAATACTGCGCCAGCACCTGTAAAAGAAGTGATTGTTTGAAACATCTTCCTTGAAAAAAAATATGATTAGTACATTAAGAATAATTTGTTTCACTTTCATTGATATCACCATTATTTTCAATCGTTTGTTATACGCATGCATCGTCTTAAAAATACATGTTTTCCTATGGCATTTATTAATGTTAACAGACCAGATGAATCTCAGTCTCTGACCTAAAGGGACCATATCATGTCTTCATTTTTCTATTAAAAGAGGGTGTTCACTCATTCTAAATTTAGTTATCAATTTTCTAAAATCAAAATTATTATGATATAGGTATATTCCTTCTGCATGCATTTTTAAATTTATTTTATAGGCTTCGTTTCATAAAGGGTTTACGTTTGTGTATCTAAAGTCAATAGTAAAGTAAAGTTTGAGAAAATATGCATTCTTCCAAAGGAAGTCTATGTAGCTCTTTGCGTGCACCTATCTTGGAGGGTGATTTGTTTACTCCTAAAACATATTAACAGAATGTTAAGTGGACTTTTTCGCATGTGGTTTTATCAATAAATGTAAGTTTATCTACTATCTGATTTTTGTTTAGCCGTCTTGTATTTGGTCTACAGTAGGTTATGTAGGTGTCCATTTAGCAAACTTCAGATTTATAAGTTAGTACTGGTTTTACCAAGTACATGATACATTTACTGGCATCTCATCGAGATCGATAGAGTTGTGATGTACGATTTTAAGGAGAAAAGCACCTTCCTAGCTTTTTGTGATATTAAGTTTAATGTAATCGGATAGAGTGAACCATTGCATTTGATAACATTACCTAAAAATTTGTATTCAGTAACATTATCTAATGGTTCTTGGTGTTTTTTAAAAATACTTTCTTCTTGCAGTTTGTTTGTTCTACTTTCATTATTTTGCGTTTTGTGTATAATTAACTATGAGTTCCTAGTGTTAACAATAATTAAATAATTTGTTAAGGCGTTTTTACTTTACTTAAATATTAAGTGTTATAAACTTACCCAAAAATACAGCACAAATGTAAAGATAATTAAGACCACTGTCTATAATGCTAGATTCGGATAAAAACAAGAAGGCTTTATGTCGTCTCATTTTGGTTTGGATAACAATGACAATCTGTAGGAGGTATGATAAAGACTTCAACATGCCGTCTCCACCAATCAAAACCAAAGCTACCGGTACCAAAGGCTTTGTTTGACAATTCCCAGAATACTTAATCCCTAAAATACAATTTGCATAAATCATACAAAAAGATTTTCTACAAGGTTGACTGTCAATTGATTAAAGAGCTTCCGAATGTATTATCTAACAAAGGATAAATTTATACCTCGGAGAATTTTAAGTATATTCAGTATTTTTTGTTAATGATGTAACTGAAATAAGAAATTTAATAATATTAAAACCTACCTAGTACAAACATCATTGTGTGAATAGTTAATGAAAACAATGCTGGCGCTACCAGAAATCCTGAAATAAACAAGAATTGATTAAATTGTACTACTTTTGCTTTTTATATTGTATATTAGTATCATTTATAAAACAAACGAGGAAAAAAATGTCAATCAAATATCTATTTTTTTGCGTCAAAGATTTATTTATAAAGGTTATGAAAATTACAATACGATGACTCTAATTTTTAAAAAAAATGCCTTGAAATATGGACATCGTTTAAGTGATGAGGTGGCGGTAATAAGAAACAACAAGTCAGTCTTTACTAATAAATCAAGATGCGAGAATTACTTATTTTTATTTTGGGATTTATTATCAATGCCCTTATTAACAGTTAAAATACGTGTGAAATGTCCCTTTTGCAGTATCGTTTTTCTGTGGAAATATGCTCGTAGCATTGCACAAGATCTTGTCAATGTCTTCCTATACTGCTCATGGCCGTTGCTGTATGAAACTTGGACAAAGTTCAGTTAGCATATTCGAGTATAGGATGACATTAAATCAGCTTATAAAGTACTTTGAGCTTGATTTTAGTTACTGCCAACACATCTTTGATGAAGTATTATTTTAATATAAAAATAAGGAGATGTGGTATGATTGCCAATGAGACAACTATCCACCAAAGTTCAAATGGAGTGGATGTAAGCAATTATAGGCAACCGTACGGACTTCAACAATGAGAAAAACCCATACCGTATAGTCGGCTATAAAATACCCCGACATGAAAAATATGAAAGAATTCAATTGAGAAAACTAACGGCCTAATTTATAACAAAACAATTTACGAAAAACAAATATGACATACATGAACCAACGACAACCACTGAACTACAGGCTCCTGACTTGGGACAGGCACATAAAGAATGTGGCGGGGTTAAACATGTTTGTGAGCGCCTAACCCTCCCTTAACATGGGACAGTGGTGTAACAGCACAACATAAGAACAAACTATAAAAATCAGTTGAAAAAGGCTTAACTCATCAGATCAATCAATTAAAATGGTGCTGAAAGTGGCGCTAAACACCAACAATCAATCAATCAGAATCCTCCAAAAACAATTATTTGTTATTATACCAATTTATATTAGAATAAATTGTAATAATGATTTATGGTTGAATTTTAAGTTACGTTGTTTTACTAACAATATGTAGGCTTATTTTGACTTTAAAAACTATTTCTCGCATTTGTACGTTACTTTCAAAGTATTGAAAATGGGATATATGGTAGATACGTGTAGCTAGATCAGATTTTGAATAATACGCCTTTGATAAACAAGAGCCTCTTGAAGCGTAATTAGAATGACAATCGGTCATTTTAACCCTTAAATGTATTACCACCGTGTATCATCGGTACAGCGGATATAGGTACTAACCAAGCGGTCGTGATCGATTTTTCTTCTGGCACGGTAAGAAAATCTTTGTTTTGTTTACATAATATCAATGTGTACTTCAATCTAAACATAATTGTTGTTTTAAGAAAACGGTGCATAGTAAAATGAATGTACATATCCGCTGTACCGATGAGACACGGTGATTACGTTGTTCAATATATCTCCGTACGTTTTGGTTGAAATTTTTCGTACTAGATTCAAACCATCTTAAACATTTCTTTCATATAAAAACAACTGCATGTGAACTGCTTTACGTCAGAAGATTATTAACTGACAGATACAAAAGAAAATACATACCCGGGCCAATTTTTCCTACTGTGATCCATGCAATTACTTTTCTTGACGAATCCAAACCCCTAGAAATCCTTGATTTAGGTTTTTCTTTATTTGTTTCTTTTTCTTGAAGACTGTCATCTTCTTTTGGTTGATGTTTTAATTCTTCTGAAAGTATGTCATCTTTTTTAGCAGCCAATGACACGGTTGGAGGTCTGTTGGTATGGCTATGCTCTGTTGATTTACTAGTTGACGGAACTTGTTCATCTTTAATTAATCTTTGCGATATATTCTCATATTCTGGAGTTAGTTCTTTTTCCTGTGCTGTATTTGTATTGTAAGTTTGATTTGTATATGAATCTGATGGTTCTTTGCTATCGCTTTTTATGTTCTCTGTCAGGTCCTGCTGTTTGGTATCTACAGCTAAAGTAGCTGATTCTCTTTCTGGATCGTTTTTTGACATTTCCTCTCTTGAAAACACATATATAATGCAGAAGTTTTTAAAAATTGAAATAATCGTCATCTCATGTATGTATTATATAATACATGATTATGATTAATTGAATCAGATAATTCGTCGTTCACGACACAGCAGTAAATATATCGTAACAAAAAAGATAGACGTTGAAAAGTAGTTTAGTGATTACTGTCACACATAATAGTAATATGCTGGCGTACCATCGTTTCCGTCATAAAGCATCGCAAATAATTCACATTGTCTTTAATTTTTAGTTTATTTCTTAGCTTATCTGACTTTAAGGTTGAGCTATTGACATCTTTTGGAGATTAAATCATTTCACTAATTTAAATTTGATCTTTGAAGAATGTCTCATAGTCTACCGTAAACATAATTTGTCGCAAAAGGCTTCCAACACTGTTTTCGAATTAGATTATAACCGGATTTTACATGTACCACTAGCCAATGATGTATGTCGCAATAAACAGGATATCCTTAAAGTTTTAGACCTTTATATTACTCCCAGATTTTGTGGGTATTGCCGATGCATTGAATCAAAAACCAATGATGTATGTCGCACGAAACAGGACATCCTTAAAGTTTTGGAGACCTTTATATTATTCCCAGATTTTATGGGTATTGCCGATGCATTGAATTACTTAGTAAGTGTTTTTATTCTGATGGAATAAATGTATGAATATTCGACTATCACAATTCAAAAATAGTTCAGAAATTAACAAGAGTGTTGCCTTAAAACCCATTTTTAAATTTAGAAACAAACTTCGGGTACTCGCAAAGCGGATTGTGTTCGTACCGGCCGACATAGCAGCCAACAATGCGGCGGTGTGATATTCAATTACTAGCACTGGTTCGATACTACTGCTGGTGAACTGTTAGTCGCCGATGACATTCTAAGCTCAGTAGTCTTTCAGTATACTGACTTGATTTATGACATACTTTTTTTCTAGAAATTCCTCTTTGGAAAATCAAGAAACTAAGGTTCCAACTCTCTCAAGCAAATTTGACCTTAAAAGAAATTGACAATTCTTTTTCGGTCCTTTTTTTTTGGTGGGGGGGGGGGGGGGGGGTATAAACCCCTTAATATTTCTACATGCTTACAAATTCATGGCTTTTAAATGTTTAGATTTGAGCGTTCTTGATGAAGTTATATCCATAAAACCGCTTCGGACGCCCACAGATTATAAATGTATTTATCCCTGTTATATCGAACACTAGAACACCAGCCTATGTTACCGTATTCAAGTGTCGACTAAAGTGTGTGTTCATTTAATTTAATAACATTTACCATTGGTCCGAATTGGACCTGTAACTTATGTTGAATTTTTGGTTTGAAGTTGCAACTTAAGTTGCACGAACTTTAAATGCGGGAATAGATTTCTATTTCCATTCAACAGCACTTTATAATCAATCGAAGTTAAGTTTTCAGTGCAGTAACCAACCCCCCTTTTTTCACATATAATTATTGGTATGGAAAATATATATTTTCTTTTCATTTACTTATTTACTGAACATTGCAACTTGAAAAACTGACTATAACATAATAATTTTTAGTACGAAAGAGGTAGCTAGGGCCAATTCATCATGAATTTATTTCACACTGGGGACATTGTCAGAATTTAATTTATATCGAAATTCATATATCAAATGGTTAAATCAACTTTCTTATTTTGACTTTGTAAGTTACACAAAACAAAAAAGTGGCCATACAACTTTACAGGCACCTTTTATCGATTAGGGTCATGTTTAAGTTGTGCACAATTAATTGTTTGTGTTATTTTGAAAACTAAAAGACGAAGGGAAACGTGAGAAGTAATGTTTTTGTTTAGAAAAAAATTCAAATGGAAACAACTTAAAGATCGGGACATCCAGCTTGTTTGCTAGTCTTTTTTTACACTTAACACGTTCTCTGGTGTGGGAATTATTAAACAAAGACCAAATATATAAATTTCTGCTAACAAAGTTTCAATTTCAAGCCGTATATATAATGCATATCCTGCCAATAACATTTTGTTACATTATATGGGTGACTGGTTTTACATTGTATGAATATGCAACATGTTTTTTCCCTGAATTATTTCTAAATGACTAGTGCTGTAAATCAAATATTGAATGCATATATGAACTAAGAGTAAATTTAAATACTTACTTGACACTATAGTAAAATATGTACTAAAATCTCTTCCTGTTTACTGTGTGTAACGGAAACTACGTTTATTTTCTGAAATATTGTTAACACATTTACATACCAATTATAAACGATAAGTACGAAATTGTGTATATTCAAATAAGAGTATACGTATATAGTTGACATTATCTACAGCAATAAACATGATAAACCAGGCGATTTATTATTTATGCAGTATATTTTAATGGCTGTTGGAGGAAAATGTCACACTTTTGAAATTGAGCTTTATATTGTATATGATCGATGACTAATTCCAGTATAAAATGTTTCATTACATCAACGTTATTGTTTGGCCATCAGCAACTGATAAATAAAATATTAATAGAAGTATTGTCATCCAATCAGAACCATTGATACAAAATAACTGCATTAGAATAGTTATCCTTACCCCTTTACAGTTCCTTTAAACATTTTTCGGTAATGTAGTTTTTGTGTTTATGTATGAGAGTAAGTAGGTGAAATGGAGAGAGAGGAAGAAAAGACAAACGAGGGAGAGTAGTTAGTCATAATCCTTACCTTAAATCGACTCAATTCCTAAACCTCGTTATAGTAGGTATTTTTATCTATTAATTTTAGTTTTTTTTTACCGAATTCGAATCTTAATCTGTATACAATTACTTCCTTTTTCTCCGCTTTCAGCATTTATCTTTTTAACGATCTCGTTAAACTGTGAAACTTAACCTTAGAACAACAATACCACCGCTAACAAACCGGTGAAGGTCTAAAACTAAAGTCTTCCTTGTCTAGAAATGGAAAAGTCAAACTTTCAACTTTCAACTAAAATTCTCAAAATTCAATGAACCGGGTCAACATTTTTTGTTTGGTTTCTAAAGGCAATTTATAACCAAATAAACTTGTATTAGACATGTAGCAGGTTTAAAATAAATTTTTTTGAAAAAATCAAAATCGTGGCCGGAAGTCCCATTTGTTGAAAGAAAAACTAAACTGGCTGCAATTTGTTAACAATGAATTAAATCTTTACTCAAAATACAGAACCCGGTCAAATATTATAATGTGATTGAAAAAGTCAAATCATTAAACTTATTGATGCAATATATTTTTGAATAGTTCTATTAAATACAAAGATAATCATCTTATTAAGAAAATATTTGAAAACTGTTTGATAGACAACCCTCCTCCTTTTAACCCGGGCTTGGGGCCGCCGTCGGCGAAGTTATCTTTTTGTTTTCTTTCTTTTTTATGCTTTAAATTCCTACTTTAAATATTTGAAACTTTTATTAATCCGCCAGTTATCATAATTGAGTATCAATGATTGAAAAAGTTTGATTTTCTCTGTTTAATGTCTATGATTAAATGATTTTGATTATTAAACAGTTTGAACGTTTTACTGTGTTCCCATACATCACATTTTACGTTCCGTTTTTCCTTCACAACCTATTATATCCTCTATTGTGTCTGGGTTTCTAGAATCACAGTCGATTTGGATAATGTGGGTTTTAATTTTAAGTTTTTGGGGTTCTTCTTGTGTACTTGTTAAATGCTCAGTCTTGTTGAATGTCGTGTTTTAAAGATAAGTGTCTTTTGAAAATAAACAGGATTATGTTGTCCGTATCCGATGCGGTACATGTACGCTGGACGCCATTCTAGAGTGGAATAAAATCTGTAATTGTTCTTGTCAGTCGTATAGTCGGCTATAAAAGGCCCCAACATGAAAAATGTAAAACAATTCAAACGAGAAAAATGACGGCATAATTTGTAATAAAACAATATACGAAAAACAAATATGACAGATACGAACCAACGATAACCACTGAACTACAGGCTCCTATTGCATGTTTTAGCATGATACCTTGATCTTTGTCTGTGTGTACCTTTGGGAGGCAGATGCGATAATAACCTGTCTGTTAAAATGGAATTAACTCAGTCTTTTATTCTGTCTACGTAATGTATAAAATATTCTAGATTCCGCTGACGCATGTTTACGCTCATGGTCTTAAAGGGTGATTGGTATTTCTCGCAACTACATGTAGTTGAAGAGGCATTGGCTATTGCAGTAAATTGTTTTGCACCTTCGAAGTCATCTTTATACATATTTACTGAGAAGTATGTCATAGTTGACCAGTACTGTTACATCTTTACTAGTATTTACTCCAGGTTTAATATCGCTCTCAAAAGTTTGAAGGAGTTTGACAGTAACTACTGCTACCGTTGGAACATGATTATCTGAACAACCCAAATTGTTGAAAGAGCTGTAGAAAAGTATTCTTCTTTTTTACAACTCCCGTCCAGCTGAAAATATTGTCCTCTATTTAGTTATGCTGAATGTATAAATACACAGCCACTTCTCGTCGAAATAGGGGCTGCTTCATGTAGAGAAAATGCCGTGTTCTCTGTACCTTACAGATCCAGGTTATATCCGTAGGTGTTTATTGAAATCAAAATATCTGCACTCTATCAAACATGCCGTCAGTCTGTAGTCGAAGTCGAAATTACCGCTAATCATCTCGGTTGGTCACTTTGCGGAACATACCTATTACATTAATTGTTTACTGGCTCCCTAAATATATAGTTTACATAAAATGTTTGCCACTGGAAGTTGAGCAAACAACAATCAATCAATTAAAAATGAGCCAAATCCATACGGTATGGTAAGGTGTAAAATACTACTGAACAGCAAAAAGGAAACAAATCAGATGGAACAACTTACGACATGAAGTAAGTATCATTTAACGAAACTTTTTTTGGGTCACGACAACCACTAGACAACATGATCCTTTCTTGGGACAGGCACATATGTTAAGAATGTGGCAGGTTCAAATATGTTTTTGATCACGCAACCCACCATTAAAAACCTACAATACATAACAAAACACGTCGGAAAGACAAAACCTACAATACATAACAAAACACGTCGGAAAGACAAAACCTACAATACATAACAAAACACGTCGGAAAGACAAAACGTACAATACATAACAAAACACGTCGGAAAGACAACACCAACAGTCTACAAAACACTTTTGACTAGAGACTGAGCAACACGAACCACAACGAAAACAGGAGGTACAAATCTATTAAATACAACTTAACTCATTAGACTTGCACTAATCACAAACAAACAAAAATATAACAAAATCAACAGGGATTTCTGTTTCAGTTTTCAAACGCTAATTAAATGTACCGATCCTAAGCCAAATGATAAAAGCAAATTCTCTTTATTAATTTAAAGAGTACAATTTAACAGGTTTACATGTATACATGTATATTGACTTGTTTGTATTTAATTTTGTCGTCCAACCGTTCAATATGTCCTTATTTTCCAAAGGCAGTTCAAATTACCCGACCTTCATCCTAGTCAATCCATTTTGCAAAGCTACTCTTTGTATTTATTTTTAGTTTTCTTACTGAATTTGCATGAAATATTTATAGCTACTTGACGTTTAGCGAACAACATCTCACTTATCGTATTTTGTTTTCAATTTCAGTTCACAGTGTCCAAATGAACACAGCCTCGTTTTTGCAGAAATTAATCTTCAAATTTACACAACAAACAAATTTTATTCAAAACTACTTTCGTTTCACATTTCAGAGTTGAATATTTGCACCAGATAAATTTGCATTTTTAAACAGAACATCAGAAGAGGGAGTATACTTCCGATTTCCTCTAGACTATGTATAGGCATATCTTGTATAGCTCGTTCTGTCAGAATGGCCCTTTCCTTTACTCCATAGGACATGATGAATCGGTAAGCCGCAATTATACATCTAGATATTATATTTATTGAAGCTAAACGTTTGCTATTTAATTGCATATAATATAAATATCTTCAAATGATTTCAATTGCATATTCAATATGGGATATATAAATAATAGTTTGTTTAAAAATTGCACATGGATAATTTTGTTTTACTAAGACACTCATCCTTTGAAGTCATTTCCTACATTTCAGTATTCAATGTTCATTATTTCAACGACAAAATAAACAGTTATGTTTCTTTGTATGTTTACTTCTGTATTATGTTAACATATTTTATCCGTGCAAAATGGGGAAACAAGCAACAATTATTTTATGTTTTCATACTGAAAAGTCGTGATGTCCGGCTAGAATCAAACTCACAACCACTCATGTTATCCATAATTGAAAAACTTAATCAAATATACCATGCTGGCTTATATTTGTAACCGACCCCGTGAGTATATCTCTTCATTATGTACTAACTCTACAATGAATAATATAGATTATAGTATATATATTGTACATTCAGAACTGTTTAACAAAATTGATGTTATTCGATATCTCGATATCATACGTGTAGTATTTTATTTAAAATTGATTACTCAATGAAAAAAAAAGTACATTGATTTGTTTAATGTTTTCTTGGTATATTTGCATAGAATAATTATGAATAAATTGAAAATTTTGTTTCCCCAAGAGCAAACCCATGCCCTTTCCCCCAAAAAGTGAATGGTCGGTACCGAAGTTTAAAAGAAAAACAAAAGGAGCATTTAAGTCTGGCTTCAAACTACAAATTAACAAACCCGCAAATACCAGATGTAATGATTGAACAAAACTAGTTTAATTACACTTTTGATTAATATGTCTTCAAGCCCAAATCTATCCTCGGAATATGTAAATAAATCAATTCCGGATCACCATCTGAGGGATTCGTCCCTATGCAAGGGGCGTCCGTTTCGTTTTGTAGAACGTATAAATACGCAGTTAAGTCCGTTCGGTATTAGGACGCTTTACTCAATGTCTCATTTCTTCTGTAAAAGTTTTTTTTTATTTGAAATGCACATGTATGTCTTAGTGTGGTTTATCAAGGTTTATTCGATCACATCAATTGCTTGAATTTCTTTACAGTGGGCTTATATTACACGGACGAAAATCACTTTGGTATTTATACATAATAAAACGCACTTGCTTAATAAAACGATGAGCTTATATTACAAGGAAGATATTAAAAGTTATTCACGTTGTAATTCGTTTTATGCGAAAGTTTTCTTGTAGACTAAAATCTAAAATGTTACTGTTTCACTTTGATGGTGATAGTAAAAACTGAGGTCTGACCCACCATTAAATATCTGTATGACTCTCTCTATTCAATACATCTGCTACCACTATGTATATATAAAATGTCTGCATGTATAATGAACTGCATTTAACCTATAGGTAATTAAGAATAATGAATTCAGAGACTTACCTTTTGAGTTTGAAAAATATATTGAAAATTAATAACAACCCTGCAAGCGATAATAATGCCGATAAAGCAATAAATCCAAAAACAAGACCACTTCTAACTTTCTTCTTTTCTTTATTCACTGAAAAATCACGTTTTTGAAAAATTATATAATTTGTATGTATTTCTATTACTACTTGTTTTAGTAACTTTAAAGACTTTGTTACACTTGAATTTTTGGTATAATGTAATTGAAAGTATCATGAAAGAGACTGATAAGTCAAATTATTCCACAAGCAACGATTTTTTCGTGGTACCGTGATTGCTTAAAATACCGGAAATATATCCCTGCAACTACCTAGGAATTTAATGTAGATGAAATAAAGTGCATCAAGTATATTTTGACCGTCAAGTACAAATTGATTGGTCAACGGAAATATTTTTCCTAAAAACCTACGGCTTTTCTGCGTTTTTGCTCATACAAGTTAAATATTTTTTTGCTTTTCTCGTTATTTATCCTTAGGAAATCCCTTTGGTTGTCCGTAACTATTGTATATATGTCTTACCGTTTTTTATTTATTTATATCTTTCAAGAGATGTGAG